TATATATATATATATATATATATATATATATAGAGAGAGAGAGAGAGAGAGAGAGAGATTAATGGAGGTCATTGACATAGGAGGGAGTTTCCTCCTATGGCGCTGATGTGGCCAGATCTCAGCCACTGATCCCTCCCCCCGCTCTCGACGACAACGCCTCCTCTGGCTCTCTCTCCCCCCAAATTCCCACCGCCATCACCACCGCGAAACCCACCCTCGCGATTACTTCCGACAACAATGCCTCCTCTCCCGTCGACAGCCCCCTCCTCCTCCCGCCTCCCACTGTCGAGAACCCACTTCGTCCTCCCCCCGCTCTCGACGACAACGCCTCCTCTGGCTCTCTCTCCCCCCAAATTCCCACCGCCATCACCACCGCGAAACCCACCCTCGCGATTACTTCCGACAACAATGCCTCCTCTCCCGTCGACAGCCCCCTCCTCCTCCCGCCTCCCACTGTCGAGACCGACGCCGACGCCCCCATTCCGCCTCCCGCTGTCAAGACCGACACCCTCCCTCCTCCCTATGTCGACGCCGACGCCGATCTCCCCCGTCGAAGGCCCATCACTTCTTCCTCTCTCGCATCCGACGTCGACGCAGGTATTTTTGGTACAGTCTCAATTTGGGTATTTTTGGAGTGATTTATGGTCTCAACGCGACAAAACATGTTCATATTTCAATTCTGCTATAGTGGTCTATTCAAATTTCAATTCCATTTGGTTGGCCTCTTTCTTGCGTTATTATGCTAATGCTTGCTTTACTGCTGTGAATTAGGGTTGACTTGAATTTTTATGCTAATTGCGTTATTATGCTAATGCTTTTCTGGGTTATTATGCTAATTGCGGACAGTTTCGAGGGGGAAAAGAATATGTGCAGACAGTTTTTGTTGTCCTCAAAATATGTATATACCGAGTGCTTCAACTATTCCCAGTACAATTGTAGCTGTTCACGTCTCCGATAAGCTGTAACCTTTCATGATTTTGGAGAAGCAAACTTACACTGGTTTTGTTGCTATTGTCATTTAATGTTCCGTACTCATTAATATGATAATGTTCCTTTTCTACACATGCTAGTTTTATTAGGTTTACATTCTCATAAGCAGTTCCATGCGTCAGTAAGAATTCTGTAGCTCCAGGTATAATTTATCTTTGTTGTTCGTAATTACCCAAAATTATCATGTCATCGATAAGAAATTTCAAGCGGTGGATCTAATTAGTTGTGCCATAGGCTGTAAATAAATAAATACTCTAATACTTTCGAATCCTGGAAACAATTTTACTGCAGTGTGGTTATAAACTTGCATCATTAGTATATAATTTCTCGACGTTTGTAACACATTGATAATTGTTTCAAGGTGACGAGAGGATAATGAATGTTGAAACAGATGATGTGCTACCCATTGGACTAAGTGAAAATGATACCCAAAATCTCATGGATGTTGGTGGTGAATTGCCTATAGCTCTTGTAGGCCCGAATGAGATGACTTTCATAGGAGAGGCGCCATACGAAGGAAAAGAATTTGCTACATTGGAGGAGGCATACAACTATTACAATTCTTATGCAAAAAAGAAGACTTGCAAGAGAATTATTGAGAATTTGAGTGAAGAAGGAATGGCTCCTTCTACTATTGCTCGAGTGTATAATGTTGTGTCTAAGAGTATTGATGAAGAATATATTACTGCACAACAATGTATTGATCACATCAGAGCTATTAGGAAGAACAACATTGGCAATGAATGCATATCCATCATAAAGAATTTTCAAGCTAGGAAGGAAATCGATCCAGAATTTTATTTTTCCATAGAGCTGGATCAGTCGGGGACTATGAGGAGCATGTTTTGGGCTGATGGGAGATCAAGATCTTCTTACTTAAGTTTTGGAGATGTAGTGGTGTTCGACGTCACATATAAAACCAATCATTTGAGCCTACCGTTTGCTCCATTCACAGGTGTAAATCATCATCGGCAGTCCATTCTCTTTGGTTGTGCGTTACTTGCAGATGAGTAGGAGGATACCTTTATTTGGTTGTTCACTCAATGGCTAAAATGCATGCATGGGGTTGCACCAAAAGCAATTATTACTGATCAAGATGCACAAATAAGAGGAGCTATCAAACAAGTTTTTCCTAATACCCGACACCATTTTTGTTCTTGGCATATTGGCAGACATATTGCCGAGCAGCAACTTCCAATGAAAGCACAATATGGAGATGAGATTTCTACATATTTTGATAAGTGGTACCGAGCTAGCACTATTCACAATTGTGAGGAACATTGGAAGATTATGAAGAAGAAATTTAATATAGATGAGAGGGTAGATAGTTGGTTGACGAGGATGTACAGATTGTGTACACACTGGGTAGATGCATATTTGAAAGACATATTTTGGGCATGAATGACAACTAGTCAGAGGAGTGAAAGTATCAATGCATTTTTTGATGGTTATGTAAATACAAAGACTAGGCTTGTGGACTTTGTATGCCAATATGACAAAGCCTTAGAAAATCGCCGCGCATCTGAATCTCGAGAAGACTTTATGACATTGAATACTGTGCCTGCAATGTGCCTTTGACATCCAATTGAAGTGCAAGTTAGCAAATTATATACTAGGTGGATCTTCAAAATATTCCAAGATGAGCTTACTAATGGGTTATCACTTTTTCATGAAGAAATGCTAAAGGAAGAGCCAAAAACAATTTATCTAGTTGGTGATTTTTCTGAAGAAAAAGATAAATGGGAAGAAGTTACATATGACAAATCTAGCGGGTTTATGGTAAAATGCTCTTGTGCACTTTTTGAAACCGATGGGATCCTTTGTAGACATATATTGCATATCATATGGCTTCTTCAGTTGACAGCTATTCCTGATAATTATATATTGCAAAGGTGGAAAATTGATGCAAGGCACAAAAACATTAGATTTTTTAATGATATGGATGTAAGAAGCAATGAAGGTAGCATGAAGCAGTGCGATATTATTAGATTGTGGGCAATTCGAGCCAGATTCAATGCTACCCTTGAGATGGCATCATGTTCAGCAAATGTCATTTCTATGTTGGAGAGAATGCTACAAGATATCACTGTATCAGTTGAGAAGGAAGTAAAGCTTAATGAAATTCATATTGCAAACTCTCAAATTGGAAGCCAAATTAGTTCAAATACAAATGTAGTATTGAGAGATGGTGAAGAAATTTTAATTCGTGATCCTAGTGGCCCAGTCAAAACAAAGAGTCGTCCAAGAGGTGCTAGCAGGTACAAGTCAGGAATTGAAGAGTCACAATCAAAAAAGGATATAAAACATCGAAAATGTGGGAATTGTCAACAATTGGGTCACTATAAGACCGGTTGCCCGATGTTGGTAAGTTACTTGAGAATTTTTCTTGTAATATTTATTTGTCGTTCAATTAAATTCTTTTTTGTGCACAACTTATGAATGTTTTCCATGTATAGAAAAAGTAACAGCCTTTTAGGAGCATTTTGGAGCATTTTAGGAGCATTTTGGCTGTACTTTCCCCAGGTGGTTGCAGTTATGTGTGTATGTTTTGTTCATTGACCTTTGTTATGTCCTTCAGTAAGCTATGCAAACGAATCAGTCCTCCCTATTTTGGTTCATTGCACACTGAAACTTTGGTTCTATTTGTTGTGCAGGCGGGCATTGTGAAGAAGGAGCACATCAAAATCCATGGTAGCTGAGAAGTCTCTGTTCGAAGGACTAATTAGTGCTTGAAGATTGCGTTTTATCTACTTAGCTTTTTATATAGTTGCTTTCCTATTTCATGCTTGAATTTGTACCTTGTTATTTCTTGCATTTGTGTTCGAAGGACTGATTATGTAGTGTTCGAAGGACTGATTATATAGTTGTATTTGTTACTGATTATGGTAGCCTGAGGGACAATTTAGTTTTGTACAAGTTCTGGTTATATGAGATCTTATTTGGCATGTTGATGCTCTTCATATTTGGATCTCCTCAACTATTTTGTGTTCTTTATTTGGTTCCCAGTTAGAAGACAGTTTGTTGATTGTGCATGTTTAATGGATGTATGCATGGTTGATATACATGGCTACATCAGTTGGAAGTCCACCTCTTTTTATCTATTCACTAAATTTTTGTTTTTAACCTCAAGAATACATTTAAAACTTTCGGTGAGGTCTTGTCAGCAATTTTGTCACTCATTTGATTCAACATGTTCTTTGATCATTGATGCAGACTTAGTTCAGTCGTCATGACCGGCAACTACGATCATTTACTCACTCAAATAAATGATAACAACGCCACATTGTTATTATTCTCCCACAGCAGCAAACAAAAGATAACCACCCAAACCAAACAAACGGCTCACAAAGCAAAACCCAACAAAACAAACAAGATCAATCCCTCTTCCTCTCCCTGTAGGCCTTAGCCTGGAAATTGAGAAACAAAACAAGCAAGCTCATGATTGATTACAAAATGAACCAGTTATGTACTAATCAGAGCACAAAATGACCACAAATAAGCTAACATTTGAGGACAAACTGACTTCAAGCATTGTGAAAATTGAGTTCAAACTAAGTACAAAATGACCCAAGTTATACAAGCTTATCCTCACATAGAAGAATCATCCACAAATCACATCACATGTTTTTTGCAATGGAGAAACCAACAAACACGGCAATGATACATACTAGAAACACTAATATTGTAAACACCGAACCTAATACAAAAGCATAAATGGAGGAAATAGCAGTTTCCCCAAGTTTTGCCTTGTCCTCATCCAGATTATGCCCCGACGGAAGTATTTGTTATTAAAATTGAACTGGTGTCAGGACATGCCTTGAGCTGGATGCTGGATCACGAGCGATGGTGTGCTTCTCCCATTCAAGAAAAACCTCTTCGTATGTTTCAAACCCTTTGTAGGAGGCATTTGGGAATTTATCAACTTGAGATTTGCATTCCTCCCAATTATCGAAAATGCCACATCGTCGACCTCTCTTCACAATATAGAAACTCTTTCTTGCCATGGATAACCTGAAAATTTGTGTTTTATAAAGTATATTCAAGTCTAAAGTATATTAAAAAATGGCACAGGATAGGATGTATTTCCATAAGTATATTCAAGTCTAATGTATATTGCACTTCACATCTGAATATGGATTGCCACATTTCTATGTGTTTTATATTTTTATTTGAAAAACTAGGTATATATGAAGGGGGCTTCTTGTACTTTAATATTATATTTGTGAGTAACCAGTACTCACTGCTTTATGCCTGCCTAGTACATATATTTGCTCTTGTTCAATTGAAGTAGCTAGCTTCTTATTTAGAATGAAGAATGGATAAGTGTCAGGGCTGTAAGCAACATGCAATATGCAGAAAATTTTACCAAATTATTAGAGTGACAAAATCTATATAACCTGCAACCTGTCTGAACAAAATTAAAATGACTGAATGCATACACAATTCAATCAAGGGAATAGAAATTTCAAGCTACAACCATAAGAGAAGCCCTATCATGTGCTCACATCCAATTTGCATTTTGTATATCTCTTCAATACAAAAAGTCCAAGAAGTGATATTGAATTGAAGTAGCTGACTTCTTGCTCAGGATTCAGAAACATTAGTATTATGACACTAAGCAAAATGCAATATGCACAAAACCGTAACAAAATTTCAGAGAGCCAAAATCTATACAGAATGTAACCTGTCAACGAAAGTGATTGAGCATATACACAATTCAATCCGGGGGATGGAAATTAGCAGCTACCAACATAAGAACATCCTAATATCTCCATTTGTGTGTAAACCAAACATCAAATTTCAATAGTATTTCTGTACTCATGAAACAATTTCTAAGTCTCAGTTTGAACACATTCTAAATCGCAGACACAATGCAAAAGGTACTGAGAAAAAAAGATTGAAAAAAAGATAATCAGACTTTACCTCAATTAGAAACCATATCAGCCATTGACAAGCATGATCTTTACTCACCTTCAAACTCCTGAAAGATTGAAAAAAAGATAATCAGACTTTACCTTATCTTGGTGTCGATGCCGGCATCGACAACGGGAGGCGGGAGGAGGCGGGAGGAGGCGGGAGGGAGAGGCGTAGACAGCGGGAGGCGGGAGGAGGAGGGAGGAATCACGGCGGGAGGAGTAGACAGCGGGAGAGGCGTAGACAGCGGGAGGCGGGAGGGAGAGGCGTAGACAGCGGGAGGCGGGAGGAGTTCTGAGGTGATCACGGCGTCGAGAGCGGGAGTAATCGCGAGGGTGGGTTTCGCGGTGGTGATGGCGGTGGGAATTTGGGGGGAGAGAGAGCCAGAGGAGGCGTTGTCGTCGAGAGCGGGGGGAGGACGAAAGGGGGTTTCGGCAGTGGAATTTGGGGGAAAGGGGGAGAGAGAGAGAGCGCTCAGACACCGAGGGGGTGTGGGTTTTTCGACAGCTGCAATCAAGAGCTGGTCCAGCACACAGATTTAGCAAGGACAAGGGTTATTTTTGCAAATAGACACCAGTAACAGTTGATTAACCCGCATTGGAAAACGGATCAGTGGCCTGAGATCTGCCACATCAGCGCAGTCATAAGGAGGAGACTCCCTGCCTATGTCATGACGCTGTCCATTAGATCATATATATATATATATGAGAATGTAAGTGGTGTATGCATATGTCATAATGAGAGGATTCTCTCATATACAAGTCGATGTGGCACAATCTCCGACCAAGTAAATAAAGTAGCGAGAGAGATATGCCTGCAATAAAATACACTTGGTGAAGATTGTGGGCACATCATTGTATAATGCAGAGAATGGCGCTCATCATATGAACATATGATAGCCACATTCATCTCTGCTCGTCTCTCTCTACTGCTCTCTATATATTTTATATATAGTATATATTATATATATAAATGTATATATAATATATATGTATTACCTATATATGATAGTATATATATAAATATATATAGTATATATATATAGGCGATATATAAATATATATAGAGAAGAGAGAGAGAGGAGAGAGGAGATTAGATTAATGGGTATGCATATGTCATATGGAAGGATTCGCCTCAATAGCAATTACATGTGACACAATCTCCACCAAGTGAATAAAGGTAGGAGAGGAGAGATGCCTCATAAATACACTTGGTGGAGATTGTGCACATGCATGTGTAATACTGAAGAGAACCCGCTACATAATGAAGCATATGATACACCGATTAATCTCATAATATATATATATATCATATATATATATATATATATAGTATATATATATATTATATATATAAATAATTATATAGAGAGAGAGAGAGAGAGAGAGAGAGGGAGAGAGAGAGAGAGAGAAAGTGAATCTAATACATCACTAGGCTCGCCACACTAAGGACTGCGGCCTAAAATCACATGGGCATTTCCTATTTTTTTTTGCGATCCGCTCGCGTTGAACTTGATCTACACGTTCTTAACAGCCAAAACATACCCAATTTTGGGGTGAAGCCAGTCCGTGTTTTTGACCTTTTCGCCACGCTCGCTGTAATTTAACAGGTTTTGATGCAATTAAACTGTTTTACAGCGCTCAACGACAGTAGGTCAAGAACACAACAGGTTCACCCAAAATTGGTGTGTTTGGGGTTTAAGAACGGTGTAGATCAAGTTTAACGAGTGGATCGGGCATAAAATTTTTAGGAAATGATGTGATTCTAGGGATTGCGTCTTTAGGTAAGGACCATGGTGTCACCGTTAGATCACTTTTATCGCCATACTATAGTATATATATATATACTATATATATATAGTACTAGCTATATATATATATATATATATATATTATATAATATATATATATATATATATTATATATATTATATATAGTATATATATATATTATATAGTATTTACATTGTTACTTATAAATACATCCATACATACGATAATGACAATATATATATACTGGTATGGTATTATATATAGTAATGAGATGGATAGTATCATAGTATATATATATACTAGATGTACCATATAAATATATGTAGTATGGTATTATAGTAACAATGTATAATATATATATATATATATAGTATATATACTAATATAATACTATACGTATATATACTATATATATATATATATATATATACACATAGTATATATATATAGTTACTATACTATATAGTCATATATATTTATTATACAGTATATATAATATATATAGTATATATAGTAGTATATATAACTATATATAATATATAGTGATATAGTATAATATATATGATATATTATAACACAACATGATATGTATTGATTATATATACATATACTGTATAATATATATATATATAAAATTATTATATATGTATAATATATATATATATATATATATAGTATATACTATATGATATATATATAATATATATATTATATATATATATATAGTATAATATTATAGTAGTAATATATATATATATAATAAGAGAGAGAGAGGACGAGAAGAGAGAGAGAGAGACGAGAGAGAGTATGGAGAACTTGGTACCAGTTTGCTTAACGCAACTTGGTAGTGATGTGGCCTAATTTCGCCCTACAGCTCAGCCCCTCGAAGATAGAGCCTCACGCGACTCTTCACCACTCCCATATAGATGTATGGACAAGACATTAGGCCAGGCACACTACCGAAGTTGTTTGGAAGCACACTTTTACAAGTTCTCCATTTTCTCATATTATATATGTATATATATATATATATATATATATATATATATATATATATACTATATATTATATACTTATATATATAACTATACTTATATAATATATATAATATAGAATATATATATTATATTATATATATATATCATATATACTAACTAATTTTATAATATATATATATAGCTATGATATCATTTATATATAGTATATGATATATATATATATAGTATATATATATATATATATATATATATAACTATATATATATAATATATGTATATATGCTATATATATGTGTATAAGTATCTACATACATATTATGTAACATCAATACATATATGTAATATAGTATACATACATGATATGTATATTATATACATATCATATATGTATATATAGTCATACATATATTTATATATACAATATAGTATATATAATAAATTATATATATATATATATATGACTATATACGTATATAGATATATATATATATATATATGTATAAATATATATATATAGTATATATAATATTATAGTATATATAGTATATATATATATATATATATATAATATATATATATATATATAGTATATATAGTATATATAATATGAAAAAATGGAGAAGACTTGGTACCAAAGTTGCTCCAGAACAACTTGGTATGATGTGGCCTAATCTGCTCCATAACATCTAGCATTGGAGTTGTGAAGGGTGGTTGAGGACTCTATCTCAGAGGTATGATGTAGGGGCAAGATTAAGCCAGCATCTACCAAGTTACTTTAAGCAACTTGGTAGCCGGAAGGTTCTCGCATATTTCCTCTATATATATATACATATATGTATATATTGTACATTGTTACTGATAATACATACATACATACATTTAATGTAGCAAAATATATATATATATATATAGTATATATAATATATATGATAATAATGTATATATATATATATATATTATAATATATATATATATATAGTATATAGTATAGTATATATATATATATTAATATATAATATATATATATAGATATATGGGAAAAGTGAATCTAAGGTGACACCCTAATCTCTCTCAACAAGAAGAAAAAAAACAAAAAAAAAAAACAAAGAAAAAGAAAAAAAAAAAGAAAAAAAAAAAAATAAAAAAAAG